AATAAGGGAGACAAAGGATTTTCTTTGAACATAGTTAAATTCACGCTTGTCAAAATGTCTTTTGCTAGGTGTTACAAACCAATACTGTCTTTATTTTTGACCAGATAATTTTAGTTATATTTTTAAAAACATGTTACTTTGTGAGTACAGATGCTGGCATTGTACTCTGAAAGTGTAAGCTATAAGAGAAAGTTTCTCCTAGAAAATAATTAACACTTCTGCATTCCTGAATCTTGTACTTAACACATACTGAGTTATCATTGTTAGAAGCTTCTAAGTCTGTGATCTTTTGCTTCAAAATTGGATAGTTGATGGAATTCTTGATGTAATAAGGATACAATTACAGTACCTCAACCTCTCCTGTTTTCAACCCCATAGCTCAGGTGACCTGCAGACTTCATGGGAGAAATAGGGATTAATAGCTATTTTTCTTTTTTACCAAACCATGACTTTTTCTTCACAGTTTCAGGACATGTATGCTGAATAAGCTTTAAGATACTTTAAAAAATTAAGCTGTATAATCTAATTAAGAAAGTTTGTGTTATACAAGGATACAAGGACACTTCCTTTTCACCCAGGTTATTCCTGGTTCTTTTTTTTTTTTTTTTTTTTTTTTTGATGTAGAGCCAAAGTTAGTGTCTTCCTCCCAAAATGCATTTTCTCAAGGAAGCCTGTTCTGATTCTTCTAATGAGTAAGAACTCCTGTATAGCTTTTCATGATGCCTTGTGAAACCTTTATCCTAAAATCATAGCTGATATTTATCTTCTTTTATGAGCATCATTCCAATAGCTCCAATAACTTAACTAGGTCCTTCACATATAGTTGAATGTTGCCTTAATAGTAGAAATGTCCTCTAGCAGCATGGATGAGGACAAGTAGCTTGTCACTGACATCCATTGGGATGGTGGCAATTGTAGTTATTAGATACATTTCCCCAAGCTGTTTTCAATGATCCTAAAGTTAGAGACCTAGTCGTCAGTCTTCTAAATGGACACGGGCCCACAGGCATTGACTGTCCTTCTCCTTATTGTTCTTACTCTTCCAGACTATCTGATTATCAACATTATTCATTTAATAAAATTGATATTAGAAACAATCTTTACTGATCAGCATCAAAGGGTATTGTTTTGCTTCATACATGAAAATTAGTACTGGCATGCATGAAAATTATATGCCTGCTAGTGTGATTTGCTCAGGTCTTTATTTTAAACATATGTCATGGATGTAGCAAGGTCTTGGTCATTCCTTATAATATATCTTTTGGTTCAATGATGTGTGTCAGTAGATACTTGTATTCTTGATTTGTTAATATTGAAAATGAGGGATAATGTAGTAATTGGTGTTATAATTGGAGTCTTGGTTCTGTATCCAAAATTCTTTCTGTCTGTTCTCAAAATGATCATGTACTAGCTAAGTGGCCTTGAAATAGTTAATTAATTGAACAATATCTCAGTTTTCTCATCTGCAAATTATAATAATAATTTTGTATGGTTTAAATGAATTGATTCATGTAAAAAATTTAGAAGACTGCCTGACACAATAGAAGAGCTCTAAAATGTTAGTTGTTAATATTATTGCCAAACCGTGTTGAAGTTAGTTATTAGTGAAACATAATGAAGATATTTAATCTTTCACTGGCCTGAAAAAATAATACTTGACAGTAAAAAATAGAAGCATGTGTCTTGATGTTTCTTCTTCCAATGCAACAGAAAATATTAACACACTGGGCTCTTCTCTTCAAATGTTATGATTAACAATGGCAAATCTAATTCTTACACTTTCTAATGTTATCTAGATTCAAATATATTAACTAGATTGTTTACAAGCTAATGACCTGAAAATGTATTTCATTCAATATAATAGGAGAAGAAGATGGTGATCCCTGACAGAGAACAGGGCCCTAACATAGGAGAAACAGTAGAATCACCTATAATCTTAAAACGAAGAATTTGATTTTAATGATACATTCCCAAAATTGTGTTCTGTCAATTGCAGCAACTCTGCAAGGGACAGATGTGCCAATCCCAACCTTGTATTCTGGAATTCTTCCTCATCTTCTGAGAACTGTAGACAGTGTGGTAAAGAATTATCAGTTTCCTGGGGGTATTGGAAGAAAGGATTTCCTTTCCTTCACAGACATCTACAACTATGATGGCTTCATTGTCAGCCTCCTTGGTTACCCTAAGTATTATTACTCTTCATTGGTTTCACACACACTTTTTCTGTAGACAGTTGCTACATAACAGCACTTTGGAGTTCCTAGTATTAGCCACATACCCATTAAAGCCAGACATTCAGTGTGTTTCCTGAACTCAAAAATATTTTTAAAATTAATGTACTCCTAAGAGATTCTTCTGTGATTCTTCAGTGATTTCAAAATTCTTTGCCCAAGTAACTTCACAAGAGACTATCAGTCAATCGTAACTATTCTGGTATTTTAGAAACTTTAGCTCCTGAGGAGAGGACCCAGGAATATGAAAGCTTCAACACCATCTTTTCGGTTATGTTTCTGTCTGGGGGTGGGGGTCACTCTCAGCATCAACTTAATCCTAATTAGCTGCCAGTAGCACCTTCACATCAATGTATGAATTGTAGATTTAGTTTCTCATATTGTGACATGGACTATATATCAGACAGTACCCGATGGGGCTCTAGGTGTCACCACTGTCTAGCAACTGAGAGTCTGATAGCTATCAGTCAATATTAAAATAAGTTGATATACTTAAGTCAGAAAGCATATGAATTCATTACAAATAGGAGTGTGGACAGAGAGATTTAGAGTCTTCTTTTACTTCTTTACAAAGAGTTAATTGAAACTCCTTTGCAAGACTTTTCCATAAACCTAAAGATACAAACACAAATTGGCACTGAGTTCACATCTGGGTCTGTGCGATAATGTGAGAAGGTTACTCAAACTTTCTGGATCTTGGTTTTGTTATCTGTTATGCAAACAAAATGACCCCTGCTGTATTGAGCTCCATTAAGAATTAAATGTGGTAAGAACTTCTGAACAGCATCTGATTCCAGAAATTTCTTGATAAATTTTGACACTTGGTATATTAGCTCTCCCTGTTATCTTTAACAAGACCTTCTCTGTGCAGGTCATTTCAGTCATCAGAACTGCTATTAATTCCCCTCATTGCCAGCTTCAAGGATGTCCTTGTAGCATGATAGGTAGACTAGAAACAGGAGCCTCACATGAGCATTAAGGAAATGTGTGCTCTGCTGTATGTACATGCCCAGGACTGTAAGAAATTTTAGCACAGCTCACCTCCCCTTATATGGCACTGGACTCACAACTCTCCCTCTTGCCCATGAACCTGCAAACATAGCTGGTTTCACATCTATCATGGCCCAGGTGCCTTCAAAATGACACTTCTTGTTGCCAAGTTTTTCTCCAAAACAGTAGCTAGGTGGCTGGCATGTATTTCCGTTGTTGGAGCTGCCAAATGAACTCTTTACAAACAGAACAAAAGAATGTTCTCTGGCAGCGCAGAGTCACCCTCCTCCTACCTCCTCTTCCTTTCATTTGAATACTTTGTAAAGTGTGGCTTCCACATACCCAAAGCATCAACAAAATATGTCTGTTCTCTAGTTTCTATTATCCAGTGAAAATTGGAAAAAGGAACCTTTGTACTTCCTAACATCCGTTAAATTTTTCTTTTACAAATAATTTATTTCCAAATATTGGTGTTCACTGCATGATTTGGACAGGGTGAGTGGAATAGAAGGGTGACTCATATCAATCTGCTGCAGGCTGTTTTCTGTTCGTAAAGCACAGTGTGATCACACAGGGAGCTTCCCACAGGATGTGAGACAGATGTACTAGAGATCAAACTCCACAAAGATATCTTGGCCACTGGGGAGAAAAATCCATTGCTACATTTGGGAGTGAAATAACTCTGAGAAATAGCAGATTCTATACCCTTTATTGCTCAGAAACATGCTTTTCAAGCTTGGACAGATCAGACAGAATTCCATTCTTAACATGACATAAATTGTGTGAATAATAAGAAAACAGAGTTTTTAAATTACATAGGATACGATGCTTCTTGAATATGTAGTTCTGATTATCTAAAATTCTATTGACCTGATACTTTGGTTCTCTGATGGCTTCTATACTGACTCAGGTTAATAGTCTGATTTCTGAGTGTAGTTTTCATACAATATCCACAATGCATTTTTGATACCAACATGATCATTTCTATCTCTGCTTGGACTCAGGCTCATAAAAGACAGATGGACATGTGAACAGCCTTGGAAAATGTATATGAGAGACCAATGGGGATTACTGGTGACCTGAATGTCCGATGATAGTTCTGTGAATACAGACTACTATAGCAGATTATTGTAGAAAGCATGCTCTAAATCAGATGTAGCATGTTTCAGTTTTCAACTAGTTTTAGAGTGTAGTGAGAATTCTTTATATAAGAAAATCCCAATATGACCTTGAGGATGACGTTTTAAAGCTTTATTTACTTTTTTAAAATTTAAAGTAAGATGTGTTCTGAAAAAATAGGTATATATAAATAGCATTGATTTTGATGAATACTAGAAGCATGATTAGTGATAAAGCTAAGCATTAAGAGAGGCATACCTAAGGTACTAAAATGTATTAGATTGGATTGCATATTAAATGAAATACACCAATGATTAACTGTGTTTGGAGTTTCTTAATTTTAGTAACCAAAGGATATTTTGTTTGTTTGTTGTTCTTTTCTATAATATTTGATAATTTTTGAATATTAGAGAGGGTTTTAAACTAACTTGTTGACAGTTAACTCAAAGGAGAATGTGTTATGATGTCCTCTTGCTGTCCTCTGACATCAGAAAGGTGACTAGCCTTTGTTCTTTACAGATATGTAAACTCAAAAAGAATTTGAAAGAAAAAAGATTTTTAATTTTTTTATTATTACTCTGGGCACACAACATGATGTGAAATACTTAAATGTCCATGTTAACTACTGAATGCTAAAAATTATTTTTCTTTTCATTTCAGCTCTCAGGAGAAGTAATTTTACAAATTGCCACTGAACCAGTTCTGCCCTTCAATGCCCTCGATATAGCATTAGGAGTTCAAAACAGCCTTAAAGGTATTTTTCTTTAAATTGTTTTCTTTTTAATAAGTGGACAAAGTTTTCAAATATTTTCAATAGGACTAGATAAAGTAGCCAGTATCTTTAAAGTTGTAGTCATGTTTACTTTCTACCTCTGAGGGAAAAAATGAGAAGAGTTGAGAAATATTTTAGCTACCCTGCAGGCAGAAGTAGGACAAACATGTATGGCAGAAAGCAGTGTGTCAGAGATGGAAGCATCTGACTGCTGTTTTTGATCAAAGAGACTTGGATTTCAGTTCATAGCTCTCGTTAATGTCTACAAATTCATTTTGAGCTAGCAGTTCTGGAACCCAACCTTTCTCTAACATTGTACTTACCACATTCATTCTACACAGGATGGATTCCAAAGTTTCTCCTTTGGGACTGGTTGCTATGAGATGTGGTCCACATTCCTGCCTGACTATCAAAGGCAGCAGTGACGCAACAGGACCATCGATCTTATAGTTTCCATCTCAGTCCCTGCAGACCCCCAACTTTCAATTAGGCTCTTGCAAGTCTCAGTTTACTACTACAAAGTGAGAGATGATGACTAAAGTTGTCATCCTCCTCCTAAGTGACAAATTTTGCTGTAGAATTGTGAGTGAGTCCCTCTCCACCCCTCGTCCCTCTGACGAGCATGCATGAACATACGTACTCGCGCATCTTCTCTTTCCAGAAAGGGAGGCCAAGTATCAATTGCATCAAAGTCCAACTTGGAGAATTAATACATTTTATTGGGGTCATTAATAAGCATATGGGGGGGCTGGAGAGATGGCTCAGCGGTTTAAGAGCACTGACTGTTCTTCTAGAGGTCCAGAGTTCAATTCCTAACAACCACCTGGTGGCTCACAATCATCTGCAATGGGATTCAATGTCCTCCCTCTACTGGTGTGTCTGAAGCCAGCTACAGGGTACTCACATACATTATAATAAGTAACCAATTCTTTAGAAAACAAACAAACAAGGGTATGGTTGATAGATTACCTATAGGAGCAGCAATACTTCCAATTATCCAGCGCATCACCAAACTCACCATCCTAGCATGAGCAACAACTTACAAAAGCTGCATCCCTGGCTCTCTGCACATCTTCTAACAGCTCCCCAGTCTGAGAAGTCTCTGCTCTGCAGATGGAGTGATCAGAGACTCTTCCAGTAAAATCCTTTTATACTCTAGGAGAGTTTTTGAGGATCTTCCAAGTTTCAGCTTTCCCAGACATGTGGCCCCTTGTTTTCCTCTCCCATTTCATGAACTTTCCCGACCAGAGGAGGGAATATTTATATCTGGAGGAAGCTGCTTCCCAACAGAGAGCCAATTTTCTTTAGGTGTGAGACCCCAGTAGGTCAAGCAACACTCTGGTGAATGGCTCCTTGTTCATTAATATATTAGTAACAGAAATTGAAATCTGTGGGCTCTTAAAAAGACAAGAAAATTGGAAAGGATGAGGGGTAGATCTGGGAGGAGTTAGGTGGTGGAATGGGGTGAATATGATAAAAAAATGTAGCCTATATATGTTTGAAATTTTCAAAAAATAAAAATAAAAAAATAATTGTGAGTGAGTCACTGATAGAAAACCACTCAATTGAAAAGAAATCCAGTAATTTAGCTAAGGGGCTTAAAGTAAAGAAATCTAGTAATTTAGCTATCATGCTTAAAGTAAAGAAATCCAGTGATTCATTTTTACCTGGAAAGGAAAAAGAAGGGAATTCTCAGGGAGATTTTTCTTCCTGAGATGTAAATTGTTATTCATCTTATTTATGGTTGGGCCTGGCTTTGTGGGGGGGTATCTATTTTTTTCATTAATCTTTTTGGTAGCCGGTTAGCTGTGCCTTCTGTGGTATCAGACAGGCATATCAATCCTCGGCCCTATAAGGGAACTGGGTCTGGGCCATTCACTTTAAGGGTAAGAGGGCCCTTCCCCATATCTGTGGCAAAGTTTTGTTGGTCTCTCGGTGGTGCCAGAGGCAGTCAGCAGCAGATTTGCCATGAGCTTTCAGCTTTAGTGAGATAAAAGTGAACAAGGCATGATGGAGAGTATTTCAGGGGGACTCCTTCTGAGGGGGTACCGTTTCCCCTCTTTTGTTTTTAAAGCCAGTTTTTCAGAGTTCTTGTAAAATCAGGGCAGAAGCGCCAACAGTCGCTCGTTCCACACTCAGAGAGTCATGAAGACCCTATTTAAGGATATATAAATCTATATTAATAATCTTTTGTCAAAGGACTGTTATAGCACCGCTGAAAACTAATCAGACTATATAATATATCGATTAGTAATAGCTTCTTCTACTTTTTGTGAGATTACCTCTCTTTTGTCAATTAATTGTTGAGGAAAATTAGGATTTACATCTCTCTTGAGAATATTGCACAGAGACTTAAAAAAAATCCCAAAGATCCTTATTGGGCTTGATTTACTCTATTACAATAGAAAAGGCTGTGTACAGCTCTTGACTGTGTACAGCCCTTAAAGAAGAAGGTTGCCTTTACATAGACAAGAAAAAGAGGGTTAAAGAGAGCATGAAATAGGTCAGTGAAGGCCCTAAGATAAATCAGAGAGAGAAAGAGACAGATGAATGCTGGTACAAGAATTGGTTTTCAGCCTCTCCAAGGTTGTCAACCCTATTTTCTCCCATCTTGGGACCATTATTTGGGTTCTTTTTGGTTATTTCTCCTGGTCCCTGGCTGGCCCTCAAATAGGCAGACTAACTCTGTGATACAACAGATAAATAATTTGGTAGCAAAACCTACTCACATACATTATCATAAGGTAGCTATGGAGGACCACGAGACTCAAGATGAGGTTGTTATTTTATACAGGGTGTCTCCAAAACCCACCTCCACCCAACCTAAAAGGGGGGACTTCTGCCCCTAGACCAAGCAGAGAGGGGCCACCCAGAACCACCTCTGTCAGGTGACCTGAATTCTTGCTTAGGCTGCAAGGGAATATAAATAAAAGATAAAAATATCTCTCTGGGTTCCCTGAGGGACAAGCCTGACTGCATAGGGGTTGATGTCAAAAGTATCCCCTCTCCAGAAAAAAGACATTGGGACGGGTATGGCCCTCATGCCTCACTGGAAAACGACAGGGGTACTGGAGCCATTACAAGGTCCCTTTCAATTACTGGAGGTCAGGCCTCTATCTCCGCCTTTACAAGTTTAGAATTGCTACAGCCCTTCTATACTTAGAGAAGGGAGGAGATGTCAGGGGCAGCCCTGCTTACCCACTTAAGGCCTAAAATCAGCCATAGGCCTAAAATCAGCAATAGACCTGTCATACATGTATACTAACAACAAGTCTTGGGTCTCAGTGGAAAAACATTGAATCAGATGGCTATAAGCTAATGTAAACAGGCAGTTTTCATGGAAATTTACAAGTCTGAGTAGTCATAGACCTTGTAAATAGGTAGCCTTGGCAGACAACACCAATTCAGATAAGGACAAGCGAGTCATAGGCAGAGTCACAGTGACTTGTCCCCTGAACCTTCACCTAGCTGATACCGTTTCTGAAGATATCTGTATTTACCCTGAACACCCACACTCCAGTGTCATTCCCTTCCCCACATCCTGTCTTCTGTGTTTATAATCCCTGTGTCAATGAATTACGATTTGAGAAAAAAGAAATTTAAAAAAAATTTGTAAAAAAAAAAAAAAGCAATCCAGTAATTTAGCTATGGTGATTAAAGTATTTTCTGGCAGCAGAGTGGCCTCCTGAGTCAAAAATTTCCAATAGCTTGTAATTAAATATGTACTTTTCAATTTGGAATCATTATTCCTTACAGAATTATCTAAGTTTGTTCATTATTATTTGTTTATTGTTATAGTAGAAACAATGGTGTTGGCAGCTTTTTTTCATTAATTTATTTTATATTTACTTTATATCCCAATCTTTATGTCCCACCTTGCTCCTCTCCTCCTAGTCTCAACTTTATAAATCTCCCATTACCCCCATTCCTTCTCCTCTAAGAAGGGGAATTCCTCCCCTTGGGTACCACCAAGGCCCTGAGACATCCAATCCCAGTAGAAATAAATGCATCTTCTCTCACTGAGGCCTAACCAGGCAGTTCAGCTCCGGGAAGAAGATCCAATGACAGAAAACAGAGTCAGAGATAGGCCCGCTCCAATTATTAGGGGACCCATATGAAGACTAAGCTGCTCCAAATGTGTAAGGCACCTATGTCTAGCCCCTGCATGCTCTTTGGTTGATGGTTTAGTCTCTGTAAAACCCCATGTACCCAGGTTAGGTATTCCTGTAGATCCTCTTTTAGTGACTTTGACACCTTCAGCTTGCTCTAAGCTCTGCCTGATTATTTGGCTATGAGTTTCTGCATCTGTTTCTATCTACTGTTGAATGAAGCCTTTCAGGAGGCTGAAATATGAAGGGCTTTTCTGTTGTTGATTTTTAACCTATTCTTGTTTATCTATGTAATTCTCTTCTTCCTTGCTTCCAACAGGATTCATTCATACCAAGGTTGCTATGGCTACATGTGCCTCTCTGTTTCTACTTCATATTTCCTATTTCTAGAATATTTGGAGCTTAGAAACTAGGTAGTGAAACATATGGCATTTAAAAAATAAGTTTAGAGCAGGTACAGAAATTCCATAGTTCAGTGAACAATAACCTTTCTGTAAGAATTTTTTTAAAGTCTGTTTCATTTGTTCATAGGATGTTTTGCTTTTTCTTAGTGCCCAAACATTATTTTCCATAAAATTCTGTTGTTATGACGGATAGTTCTTTAAACTTTCATAGAACAAAAGATGAGGCTTTTTACATTGTATAAATCCTTGTCCATCCATAAAGTAAGTATCGTGCATAAAAAAGAATCTCAAGTAGTATACTTGAAAATACCAACATTGTATTCTAGAATTATAAATAGGTTTCTTTATGAGTTAAACTTTCTATGATCATTGTATCTGCAAGAAAGAAAAGTGTAATTACATTTTAAGAGGTTAAATAAATTAAGCAAATAAAAACAGAAGTGTTCACAAAAACATTTTAAATATTATT